AATAATTAATATATAAATGTATCTTATGTAGCTGAATAACAATTCTCACAATGGATCATTGCGCACTGTTTTATTATGCAAAACAAAATGTTGTGAATACAAACTTCTCTGTGCAGCTAAGGCTGAATACAAGGCCAACATGAACAGTTCAATGTTTTTGTGATGAGAGACTGAAACTGACCCTCGTGTTGTTTGTCCTACTGCTATGTATGGACATGTTGGCTATACTGTATTCATAATGCTGAACTGTATGTACTTGTTATAATTACCATGCCGGATTTGCATATTAGAAGGTTTATACGTCACGTGACGTATATGACACGATGATATTTAGATAATTCACTTAAATGTGAAGGTATTTTTCAAACACCGGTTCTGCCGTTCACCAAGAAAGTCTCATTACTATTTCTGACACACACCGAACTTTAGACGCAAATGACAGGCACAATCTCGTTGGAAGCGAAGGAGTCGCCTCGAGACTTGTTTTTGCTTTTCATATATTGTTCTATTCTCTCTCATCATCGCGTTTTTTTTGGTTCTATTGATGTATATCACCATGGGAACGGTCGACGTGATGACGGGAAAGAATGCAACACTAATGGAGAGGGAAAACCCTGGCCCGTGCTCTTAGACGGATATTGGTTTAATAGACTTCAAAACCATTTATTTCGTGCTTCTGTGTAAACCATCGTAGAATATTCAAAATAGACTCATTATGCATTCATGATACAACGAGCACAGACACTCAAATTAGTTTGGGGATTATGTGTGTACCTCAAGGTATAAACTAATATAATGATGATAATAGTATAATCGCAGGTAGTGGCTTGGAACGTGTTTGACATAGTCAGTGAACGTTACAGTGTGTGTAAAGTATCGGGTTGCATGGAAAACCTAAACCTTTTTTGTGTGTGACATGTCTCTTTGTATACCCGAACAAATAACAAATTGTTTTTATTTACCGATATTTTTCCAATCGTATTGTATTTGTGTGTTGTTCGATCTGAAACGTCTCCAGAGACTGCCACTACGACGTTTTGAACAAGGCTTTGGATACTACGTCACGGTGTTCTGGTGAATTACATTGTAGTTAGCCTCGCAGGGAGAATGAGGAGACGCTCTGAACATTCCTGTCTGATACATAATATCGGTACTTATAAATAACATGCTAACGGTGCTCTTATCTTAAATTTTAATTGGATTTATTAGGCACTTTAAATTCCACTATCTCCGCCATGCATTAGAGTAGAGGCCACGATCTCTTATCTTCGGAAGAAGAAAAACACCTTCGAGCGTTGACTGACGTAGGCCAAAAGGCTAGTCTTTAAGTCCAACCTATCGCTTAGCAGGGTTTATGTTTCCCTCGTACACTACAATTGTTTCCATGGAGCTGATGATTTATGAAGCTTTTCAGATTTCCTTAGATGTTTCCTTGTAGATTTATAATGCATTATTTCTACATATGGAGTATATTGATATGATTATTTTTTGTGGGCGTTTATACACACCAGTTTGTGGATTAGTTTTTTGCAGCTGTAATTTACAAATATATAATTTATTTGGCAAGATATAATTGAATTTGGCAGAATTTTTTGTAGAGTTTCAAATTGTTTCATATGGTAGTCTCAATTTTAATTAGGCTTTAGTCTTATTCAAAGTTTTCGTCAATTTCAAAATACATGAACAGTAACAGGATCGGTTGCCGGATATTACGTCAATATGGCCAACCGAAATGCGCTGTCATTACTAAATTATCTGTGTGTTATACTGAACTATGCCTCACTTCTAAAATTATCTTTTTAATCGTGTCTACACTAAATTATACATTATATGTTCGTAAAAAATTTGCTGTACAAAATTACACATGATTAAATAGTGATACGAGTTTTTAGCAAATGATCGTTTGTGTGTGTGACCGAGGGGACTATCTCTTTTTGCATATTCTTGAATGAGGCGCATTCAGTCATTAGATGGAGATGAATATACAATTAAAAAAAACGGGAAACACTTTACGATCGATTCTATATATGCTGAACGACTTGAACAATGACGTTCTAAACAAAATGATCGCAAGTGACATGGCAATGTGCATCCGGGTACTTTGGTGTCACGGGGATCTCGTACATCGTGTATGACGAATAACGGTGCTGTTGACGTCCGCGGCGAAGAATAAAATACTGTGGAATACTTTCGCTGGAATTACTTTTCGATGAAAAAGCTTTTTGGGTGTTTTTTATGGAATTTATTTTCATTGATTTTTGATGAGTTGAATGTGAAATATAGGAAAAATTTTCGCTGGATTTTATTTTCACTGAATCATCCATTCAGCGAAAATAAAGTATTCTACAGTACTTTAAAGAAATTAAAACTACTTTTATTAGAAACATGGCTGCCTATTTTTTTTAAGTTTTAGTCAAACCCAACCGTCGTGAATTAATTTTAAAATCTGGGTTTGGGAAGTCTGAAACTGAAAAAAAAAATACTCAATCTGCGGAACGTGCGGCTCAGTGATGTTAAAAAACTAAAGAGACTAACTCTTGACAGATAAAATACATTCGAAATCTGTGTCTTGATGTCACCGTCATTCTTAAGGTAAAAGTTTATTGAATGATTGAGATGTTTACGTGACCCGTCATGCCTGAGAAAACGATGATTACCCAAGAACAATAAGAAAATATGGGAAAAGTGTTTCAGGTATTTAGCTCGAAGTTGAGAAGAGATTTCCATTATGTTACATCCTACATCAGCGCAAAGAGCACTATAAAACGACAGATTCACCAATCTAATATTTCATTATATATGTTACGTAATGTCGCAGAAAAATAAGTTGCTACTTTGTTTTTAAAAATGCTGAATATCATTGTGATATAATCACGAATACATTTAATTTCTTATTTATGGAATCAATTTACGATGCCACTGCAAACATTATTTTCTACACTAATACAAATGTCGCTGTCCCAAGGTTAATGAAATGTACGTTAGCATACACTTAAACATTTTAATGATTGGTCGCAATTTTGAGCAGTCATTTTTTTTATTTCTGTGTCGTGTTTGTAAGAGAGTAGTAATTGCACAATCTAATAAGTCAGTATGTAGTAGTATGTAGTTATGTCGTGTATGGCTTTGAAAGATGTACTTGATTAAAAGTACTTAAAGATGACTTACATTATAGCATACAATTGTATAAAGATCATTGACTGTGACCATTTTCAAATGTATTTTGAAGAATTGACTTGTTTAACAATCAACTATCAACTGAATTTCGCCTTCTTTGATTATACATTATTCAACTCAAATAAAGTAGACTGTATTCGGAGCATTTTTGGCTGATCCGTGCATTATTTAGTTGTGCTCATTAGTTGCATTTATTATACCCTGCGTAATTATCATTTTGTGTCATGGTATAATTTTATTTAATACAAACAAATGAAAGAAGACGGACATAATACAACCCTTCTCCGGGCGTGGCGTGTCCAGCCAGTTGGAAAGAACGGAACACGTTTGAAAGAAACGATGCGATTGACACGCGTATTAGTCAAATAACAAGAAGCAATATTGAGAAACCTTTCGTAGACAAGAAACTAGTGGATTTGAAAATCCCATGGATCCAAGAGAGTCCTCATATATATAATTTAACATACATTGGGATATTCTACTCGCTAATTGCACCTCCTTATTGTGTTTGGGTGCGATGCGAACGAAATTAGAATGGTTTTACCTGCATGAGGAAGAGAGTGATGGAACACATCTCTTTGCCAAATGTCCAGTGGCCGTTCATGAGAGTTATGAAAGTAAATGGCATGGAAAACACAGCCATGGTCAGATCAGCTACAGCCAGATTGATGAGATACACGTTTAAGCAATTGTTTGATCGCACACAGAGAAGAACCACTATAACGACGACGTTTCCCAGAATGGATAGTATAATTGTTGAAGAAAAGGCTAACGTTAAAATAGTCTGCCATTCTTCGGTCATCTCCAATTCGTCGTAGTCGTAGTCGTAGTCTTCGCAAGGATATGGACAGCTGATGTTATAGGTGTAGTTATTCATTGTAGATATTCATTAGCGATCCGCAGAAACATGCATTACCGTGCATTCCTCGTGTATTTGTGCCAATATCTGTACCAGCTCGAAGATAGTCGTAGAGAAGTGGTAGCTGCCCGGCATGCTCTGATCATTGTTTGTCGGTGGTATCTCCCGTCTGATGTATGCGACAATCCAGTAAATATGTACTTACAAGTACGCCCTCTAGTCACTTGTACTGGATATATTATGACATGAATAAGAGCATTGCTTAATAATGTATCACTGTCTATTGGTAACGGATGACGTGGCAGCGTCGAGTGAGTTGCCTCTCATCATGCGTAAAACGTCGGTTTATAAGATTACATTCTCAATGTAAGAAGATACTGTTGAATGAGCACATCGATCAATAACTCCTTACAGTAATTACGCTGTGATAGTCGCGCTCTAGAATGTGACGTAAATAAATTCTTTGTGCACTTGAATCCATAAGTCAACTTTTCTCCATTTCACAAATGAGTCTGGATAATTGTTTCTTTATTTTTTCAAAGATAATAATTTGTGTCTTATTATATAACAAGGAAATTTCAGAAAAACAAAAGAAGCATTTTGTTGGTACGACATTTTCGTGGGAAAATATGGCGTTTAATTCAATTCACATATTTGTGCGATACTCATATCAGCAGAAGGACGAGTAACATCACACATTCGAGTTCCGACGTGATTTGTAGTCATGACAATGTGAACAAATTATTATAGATTGATTCGTGTTTTGACTCGTGGATGGTCCTTGTGTTCCTTCCTTGTATGTATTCGTCGTCACTACCATACATACATATACATCATATTATTGTCAAGGTCATATTAATGATACAGTTTCAACTCCAATCATACATCAAAGTAGACAAGTTCACAATTTGTTTTTCCTTTTGCACACATATGTATGTGTATATTCTGCTTGCAGAACCATGTCAGTTTGAATAAGATTAAACAATTATAATATTCATAGTAATATTCAGAGGAGCAATTCTCTATGACTGGTTACGGTTAACGGATTTGACACATCAATTTATAGATTTTATTTGTTTTTTGTTATTCACATGATGCTACATATCGCCTATCCAAATATCAAAACAGCCTTTAAAATTGACGCATTTTATACTGGTTCTCATTTGCTTAACAAAAAGCAGAAAGAGTAAGTAAACAGTCAGAGGTAAAAAAAAAAACGTTACTTACAATATTAAGAGAGAGAGTTTCAAGCAATGTTCCAAAAACAGACAATAGAGCATTCATCATTGGTTTCCATTTTAATTACTCGACTGCTTGTTATTATCTTAGACCCCTTAGCCTCTATCAGGTCACATGGGTAATATGTGCATTGTCGTCGATTCACAAGAGCAACGTTTGTGTAATTGTTCACTTTGAGGAGTTTTGATTTACGTCATGCTTGCATTATTTATAGATTTTTACCCAATCTCCCAGGCAGAGTTCTATTACGAGTACTAGTATATCTCTGCCACCACGCGATATTATGCTTGTCGTTGATTGGTCGATGCGTCACAGTGGTACTACTTTCAAAGACGCTCACCAAAACATTGCCATGCAAGTGTTCGATTTTCGAACCCGATGAATGTGTACGCGTTGTTTGCAGATTTTGGATGTTTTAGAAGTTAGAAGCTTCTTTTTTTCTTTCTGTAACACAAACGGTGTGGCAGTTTGACGATTTAGTCGTCAACACTACAAAGTGCTGTTGTTTGTTTGTAATTCGTCGCCTGGCAATCGACAAGACGGTCAGTTTGATGAATCGAGTGACACCTTAGTAACGGTTATTCCGCGATGAAATTATTTTCTTTTGTAAATTATAATTATTTCACCCTTGACAGTGCATTTACGGAAAAATCGTTATCAGCTATCGATACAATATTTTAAAACTTGTTTTCCATTAGAAAAAAATCAAAACGAGAGCCCTCTAATAACAAAAATACGCAAATGATACGCGTAGTAAAAGTCTTATGGTGTTTCACCACAAAATGGCGGTGTGTGGTGGCAGAGATACTTTCGGTGATCTAACCGCAAGGCACTCTGGAAAGGAGAATGGGTTTTATAATCAGATTACCGGAAATGAAAAGGATGTTGGGTCACGGGAAAATTTGTCAAGATGCAAAAAGTCTGAAATTTCGAGAAATGTGGCATTTTACATTCATAATTCGAACACTGGCATTTAATTACAACACATGCTTATTCCAGTGCAAGAGTTCTATGCAAGAAACATATAGTTCATAACACTAACTTAGTTTTGTGTAGATTACTATTAAAATAAGATAACACACTCACTCAGTAATTAGGTAACATACGGACCTTCCCTATCTGTATTGTTGAAATAAAGTGACTCCTCCCCCTTAAAGTTTGCCAGCACTCCAGGTCATAAAACTGAACCATCACTGATGTTGGATTTTAGATCTTGTTATATCTATTTTGTTCATCTGAATATAAAATAACTGAAAAGCTTATATTCGTGAAACTTACTATTAGGGTAAGTTGATTAGTTAACTGAAAAAAAAGCGAATAGTTTACCCTTCCTGGTAAGCTTCATCGAACATGATGTATAAGAGAAACACTTTGTTAATTTCCATACGCATGTAGTCAGCCATGAAAAGAAACCAAAAGTAGCTTACAAAGGTACAATGAATTTATTTGCAAAAACTTGTCCGGTATTTTAGACAATTTATTAGATAATCTACCATCTACTTTTCCACACACAATGAAGCATGTACATGTTTGAACAGAAATTGAGAAGCAAATATCAATGACATGCAAATATATTGAAAGCTGTGAGATGGAAACTGCTGTATGTCGTAAAGAAGTAAATGTATGGTTGTAATCAGCATTCATCTGATGGTTTAGTGATTACAGACTCCGTTGTAATTAAATGTCGATTGCTTTCTGTTTGGTGATATGTTGCTATGGCAGTGACACAAATGATTAATTGGTGGTATATTCATTTGTATTTATAAATATTAAAATAGCCAGTTGGAAATGAAAAGAACCACACTTTTTCCAGGTTTCTGTCATTTAGGCTCATTTAATTATACTTATTCCATGCTTTTAGAGTTGTAGTTGACTCTGTGCGTATCATATAGGCTATAGTAGTCTTGATGTATCTTAGCACAATCTTTGTGTTAGCTTTTCTCATTCTGTTGTCTTTGAAATGAGCTTGTTACTTATATCCTCAAGTGTTAGGCTCGTAAAAGACACAAAGATATGAAAATGTTCGTATAGAAATTACATGTCGGAACCTCCCCCTTTTGGGTATCAACATGTTGCATTAACATGTTTCATTGTGGAAATGTGCAAATTAAAACCTATCAAATGAACTTGCATATGGTCGATGTATGTGATGCGCTTTTTCTCTGTACTATGACTTGTTCAAATCATGCATCGTGTTGCATGTTGCACTGACACACGTGACCGCCGCCAGCGCATCACTCCGGCATAAAATTAATAAAACAAATACAATACGAGAATAAATACGGTGCCAGGAAAAAACAACACACATAATTATTAATACTCGCCTACGCCTCAGCTAAGGTTAATTTCACTCATGTACTAGCGTAAAATCAACAATAGTGTGGGGTGTATACGTATATGTCTCTCACGAAAGACTGAACTGAAGAGTCATCCATATCTCTTGTTAAACATGGGAAATTCCATGATAAAGCATATGGGAAATAAAATCGTCTGACGTCAGTTTGCAATGATAACAAATGATACTCATGCATACATTGATGTAAATGTCTCACTAATATTCCACAGGGGTCCACGTGACAACAATAGTCTTATTCGGAAACCAATCGTGCAATTTTCAATTTTAATTCAATCGAGCGTGAGAGATCGATACCGTTTCTTTATGGAACTTCCGAAAGTAATTACACGTTCCACTTACATTAGATAACATTTCTACCTGGCTCCCGGGGACATGATTGATTGTAGTGTACACTAGATACTAGTGTTTTCTGCTTGTTATCGTTGTCAGGTGAAGCTAATGGATCATTGACGCTAGAATCTTGACTGAAGGCAATTTTATACATATCATTGCACATTGCGTGATGTGAGCTGTGCTATAGGTAATGTGAATTAAACCCATGCAATTTGGTAGCAGACAACACACGTTATATTTTCATAATAAATTATGTTTTTTTTTAATTTATAACTAACGTATATTGAAATCTTATTATGTTATAATATGACGTATTTCGTTTCATTGTATCATGGGAATACTCGACACAGATTATTTGCAGAGCTATTTGGTCTAAATATAAGGTGTAATTTTCACTCACGTGGGCGTGGTCTAAAAAGTGGTTTTAAAAGGTGTTAATTGCCCTAAGTTAGAAATCAATACGAAGACCGAAGGCTGACGATTCATCATCTTGCTTCCGTGCGGTGAACTATTTTCTAGGTAGCCTTCGTCCACATGGGTCTAAAATCACGGAAGTACTTTCAATAATACATTACTTTGTTTATATTTCTGGAACATTAAGCAGCATGTGACGATTAATCCAACCATAGCTGCCGTTAGATCATTGAATCAGCAATAATATATTTGAGTTGTACGTGATCATTTACAATATAAATATGGTAGAACGGCTATTTTTACATCCAAAATAGATGTTCGCAAGCATGTCGTATTCATGTCACGTTGGTCATACCAGAATGATAGCTTTATATACGTTTATGGGAAGATTTTAAGGATTCTATACTTCAGGCTGTAGTTCAACTTGAAAGTGTTTTACATGTGACATGGTTTACATTTTACAATTGATTTAGCTTTCCCTATGGCAGATGTCGTTTCACTTGCAGTTTTGATTTAATCTGTTTACTAGTATTTTGTATTATGCACTTATCGTGTGTTATGCGACATTATAATTAAGTGTCTGGCTGTATTTGCCAAGTCGCCGTTCTTGAAGTCGTTTTGGGGAAGCAGTTTCTATCAAGGGGCTTTCAATATAATTGCATGTCACTGGTATTTACTTCTCAATTTCTGTTCATACATGTACATGCTTCACTGTGCGCGGAAAAGTAGATGGCAGATTATCTAAATAAACTGTCTAAAATACCGGACAAGTTTTTACAAATAGATTCATTGTACCTTTGTAAGTTACTGTGGGATTTTGTTCATGGCTGACTACATTTGTTTACATCTATTTAGATAGGAAGTTGCAATATAGTGCGAGTACAGCTGAATCGTTTTAAATATCACTCTGCTAAGATGTATGTAGCCAATTTCTTCTGTAAACCTTGCGGGCGAGTACAATTTACGATGTATTTGTACAACCAAACAAGGAGTTCTATCTTCGCTTGGGCTGTAACAGTATAATCCCATTTGTTGTTAGCTCGTCATTATTTTTACCGATCACTATTTGCATTGTTGAATGTGTTCAGTAGACCAAAGATTCCGTCTATAATAGCAAGAGTTTGACAAATCTTGAATGAAAGCAGACTCATTCACTAATTGATGCAACGTTTTTTGGGGGTCTTGGATAAGGTCTGTTAGTGTTAGTGTTTGACAGTCATAACCACTATAATGCAATTAGTATCTTCATACCACATAACGGTTGCCCAAACATGGAAATGTACAACATTTGCATTGTGAGTTCTTTCTGGTGCATGGTGGCATTCATAGCAGTTCTAACAATGTGTCTAACTCTCCTTCAACTATAATGTAGAGGATATTAATAATGTCGATAATGTAATATCATACAATATTTTTATTTAGTGAAATTGTCATTGAATTGCTCTGCATATATATGTTATAAAAATATAATACTAGTGACACCTCTGGCATAAGATGAAGTGAACAATAACATTGTATCCACATTATATATATATATATATATATGACAAATTTTAAAATTCATTGATAGTTTTTAGCTCTGCAGTTGCACATTCTGAATATAAATTAATGTAATGTGTCTCCATTATATTTGTACATGTATATTATAAACTCTGTCAATATAACTCCCAAAAGACAACTTGAACAACTCTTCTGTCATACATTGATTTCCCAAGATAATCTCTAAAATATTTATATTATAAAAGTATGGAAGAAGCTAGAGATGAAAAAATAAAATTTAAATTTATCTGTACTGTTCGTATGTAATAGGAGGAACGCAATGCCAACTGAATTCTGGGAAGCTACAACCACAAAACAATCATTCACACAAAGAAAATGTACCATTAACACTTTCTAAGTTAGACGCAAGTCAAAAAACCTGATTTCAATCTATTTAATGGATGGGTGAGGTCTTTAGTGAATACTTATCCACTTATAAAATGAGTAACAAGCCATTCACATTACTGCAGTTACACACACCTATCAAAACAGTGACTGGCAAGTTGTTGGATCAAATATGTCAATTAGGTATTTGGATTCTATTTGGTGGTCTATCTGCAACAATGGATCAACGAACTTGCACAATATCTGAATAATAATAATTTCATTAACCATGATATCGTTAGTAAGAACATCTGTGTATTTATAATATAAAAAAATCTTTCTAATATTTATAATTTATTGCACTAAACTGAAGAAAAAAATATTCAATGACGTTCATCACCAAAAAAGGCTTACAAATCTACGACTAGATTAGTTAGGGCTGTTTATAAGAAAGTGTAATCTTGAACTAAAGAGCAGACATACCCCTCCTGTTTAAAAATGTAATAACTCATTTGTAACACATATTCTATGTCTACAGTAACTGTAATGTGATATACATGTGATAGGTCTTAGACACAAATGGTCGCTGTAATTTCAGCAGAAAAGCCATGTCACATGCTGTTTCCCCTAAGATAGTGTTATATGATCGTCCATCATTGCTCGCTCACAGTTCCTCTGATTTATGTAACCATGATATTTTGAATGCAATGATGAAAACAAAAGAAACACTACTTGAAAGAACAAAAATAAGTCATGTAGCTGCCCTTAAAAAAATATTGACAGCCATTTTCAGCTAACGTCCACAACAGAGAATAATGGAATGGTACCCATTACTATGAGTTACTGGTGATGTTTCCTTAGATCTAATGATTAATTCGTAATATAGGGTTCTAAAGGAATGTTTCCAACTCTGAATGAGCAAGTGCCGCTGATAGAATATTACTTGTGTTTCTATTGTCAATGTCCGACACTTGTATACTTTCCTTGGAAGAATCAGAATTGTCTTCATCAGAGCTTTTAAAGACCATAAAGTCATATTCAAAAGCATTGTTCTCGACACCATGATTCGCCTCTAAGTACTGCGGTTGAGTAAGAGGAGCAGCATCTCTGTCATCCAGAGGAATGTTCAAACTGAAATCTCTGGGTTCGGAATTAACATGATAAATTTGATAAGCACCATCAGATCCAGATGACGACTCTGAATCCGTGTCCTGCGATGAGTGATTCTCTAGAGGTTGATACTTGTCCGAGTGATTCACAGCTCCAGATGCACCTTTCTCATTTATGCGAAATGATGAATCAAGGTTATCCAACACTGTCAATGTCAAACGTTCATCATTACTCTCCTCACTCTCATCTTCCTCGTAATCACTCTGGATTCCAGAAAATCTGGACCCGGTTGTTTTCATTGTATCTGTTTTACACGAAGATGTTAAAGAACCAGAATCTTCTTCAGAAATTGGAGTCAGCATTCTCCTTGGAGTTATAAAAATTGAGTAATCTTTCAGTCCAACATAATCGTTGCTCAATTCTTGTTCAGTATTATTGCCGTTAGCACCCAACACTCCAGGTGACTCATCGGTATCCGACTCCCCACTAGTCACTGACTGTATAAGCTCTATTTCAAAATCACTTCCAGAAGGAGATCGACTCTCTGCACTCGGAGGTGACTGTGATCGTCTATCAATGCCATTTGGCAAAGGACTGAAAGTTTTCATGTGTCTCTTAGCCATCAAACTTGATGTGTCTCTCATGGAACCATCGTCATCATGGAAGAAATCCATTGTTAACTCCTGTAATAAATTATTTAACAAAATATTAGAACAGTTATTATTTTAGTTGTCACATCTCTGAGTTGCCCAAGCTGTAGCTCTATTTCTTTGAAACTGTACGTTTATAGCTCTGGAACATTTGAGCTTAGTTTATAAATACATTATCTGATGACCAATCATATTCGTAGATGTTATTTTGTGCACTAAGGTAAACTTTATTTATTTATTACTTTTTTCAGTAATTAGATGTTTACTCTAGTTTGATGGAAGAGAGTGGTGTTAACATATCCATTTAAAATAATAGATTTGCAGAATGTTTTGAACCCATGCAGCTAAACACAGCAAGCCTTGGATTCACTCTGTTAACAAAACTGAGTTTCAGTGAAGATTTGTAAATGAATACCAACCTGTGCTTCATATTCTCGTTCAAAATGTGACAGGCTTTCCGGCCAATCACTGATCCAGCTGTAATTATCAATCCATAGTGGGTTGGATCTGAAACATTATTGATTATACTGTATGAGATTTTAATAAGTCTTAACAAGTATAAAAGTGACATGCACCTGGAAATGAAGCTACACACAAGGTAACAAAGTGTGCACAAACAGTTGGCTTGGGCTAAGTGCTCACTAGAATGGAACATGGCAATAACATAACATTGTATTGTATTATTTGTATTGTTTAACACTGAAATAGACAAATGTGAACATGATAAAAAGAATGTAAGAGACGTACCCTTGGTAACTTGAATCTCTGAGTAGATCAGAAGTAGATGCACCATAGGAGAAGGTTGCGATGGCTTCTAATTTATTTTTATGTCTGTGATCAAAACAAATATATTTACTATACAATGTGTGATAAACTTTGTTTATTAAATATTTTTTATATATAAAATTCGATAAACTCAGAAATGGCTGTTAGAATTTCAATATCCCAATTCAGTGAGTATGATTTATTATTAATGAGGTAGTTCAACATTATCCAATCAGCAAACTCTTTAATTTGAATAATTGTATTTTGGCAGTCACTACATCACACTCATTATGTTGAAAGCATGCGCATGATATGTGTAGACAATGTTACCTTCTTCTTGAGCCAAATACAATTAACGTAGCGAGACTATTATTTGTGTTGAAAATTACGATTTTCACATTTATTTATTAATTGATGAAATGCACCATAAACTTTCATATGATAAAGTCAATATAACATAGAATGTCATGTAAGTTGGTTAAAATATAGATTTTCTGAAGGAAGCAACGCAGCCTCAGTAGTGTTTCCAA